TTTTTGCGGAACCGGGGATTGAACTCAGGCCCTTGCACTTGCCAGAGAAGTGCTTATTCCACTGAGCCATCTCCCCGGCCCCTACAACAATAATTTAATGCATACTTTTGTCTGCTAAAATACAAGAATTAGAAAGGAGGGCTGGGGAGATAGCTTGGTGGTTTTAAGTGCCTCCCTGGCAAGCACAAGGACCTGGGTTCGATCGTTGGTAATGTGTACAGTCCCATCCTGTAACCCTGGGTGCACTGTGATGGTCACTGAAACCAGGCATAGTGGTACACTCATGTAATCTCAGTACTGGGGAGGCTGAGACAGGAGGATCACTGTGAGTCTCTACTGCGAAGTGAGACCTTGTACCAAATGAATAAATAAATAAGAAATAGAAAAGAAAACATGTGGAAAATGGAACAATGAAAGTAAAATCCATTTGTTCATCTATATTTCTGCTATGCTGGTTTCTTTCATTTCTTGTTGGCTTTCTTTTTTTTTTTTTTTTTGGAGGAACTGGGGATTGAACTCAGACCCTTGTGCTTGCCACGGAAGCGCTTATTCTACAGAGCCATCGCCCCGGCCCCTGGCCTTCTTTTTGATTTGTTACTGTTTTGGTAAGATAGACTTTATTTTATTTATTTATTTTTTTCAAACAAAATTGGTAGGACAGTTTCAATAATTAACACATTGCATACATTCTTCCTAGTGGTTAGTTGCTGTACAAGATGCGGATATGATATCCTATTTACAAACACCGTTAGAACAAATCCCTCTGTTCATTAAGAGAATGTAATTATATAACTATTCTAATCATTTTGAATACACAGATACAAAATGGACATCCATCTGTATCCCCTTTTTTGGTTTAGTTCCATCATTTAAATATTATAGGTGTATAAACTCAGCAAAATATTCCGAAAGAGTCCAGTAGTCCATAATAGTATTGGGTCTTCCACTTCACTGGCAATGTCAGAAATTGTTAACCTGAGTTCCCTATAGCTCAACATAACAGCATGGCTTTACTTCTTATATTTCGTTTTTATACTTTTCTGCTGGATGGTTAAGACCAAGATAAAGCAAGACCTATGCA